GTGATCAACGGTTACACGGATGAAGGCCAGCACGTTCACAAAAAGGGGTGATCGCCTGTGACCTCCTCCCGACAAAAATGCCACACTTGTAAAATTGAGCAGCATGTGCACGGATGGAGGGCGGCTCCTTTTCCCAATCGGACTCTCCCCTGGGCCTTAATCCTCATCGATGACCAGGGCACTCAGAAGTGTGCAAAAGCTTCTCCGATGCAAGGCAGCTTCTTTTCAAAGCGGGGCTGTCGCTGAGCAGTCAATGAGCTTTGAAACCCACCTTATCGCACTCCTAACAGCTCGAAGGACGTAGGGTGGTTTCTTTCAAGACGAAGCTCCCGCCAGAAATGCTGGACCATGGGCCGCCCGACGTTCGACGAGAGCGCTCCGCGCAGTGAAAAAGAATGCTTCTAGGGACTACTGAGAAGGGGCTTGGGACGGGAGGGCGCATTGCAGCACTATGGATACATAGTGGGCTCAATGTGGCCCCCATCATGCCTCCTCCTCCTCCTCTCCCCTCCTCCTCCTCCTCCTCCTCCTCCTCCTCCTCCTCCTCCTCCTCCTCCTCCTCCTCCTCCTCCTCCTCCTCCTCCTCCTCCTCCTCGTCCTCCTCCTCCTCCTCCTCCTCCTCCTCTTCCTGCTCGTCCTCGTTCTACGTTCTACCCCTACCCCTCCTGGCCCTCCAACACCCTAATCGTCATACATGTTCAAATATCGTACCTCCTCATGTTCCTCCTACATCCTACATCCTCCCCCTCCGTGTCCCCCTCCTGGTCCCCCTCATCACCCACCACATTATCCAAGTCAGCCTCATCACCCTAACCATCCTCACCAGCACCATCATCATCCTCATCATCATCATCATCATCATCATCATCACCATCATCATCATCACCATCATCATCATCATCATCATCATCATCATCATCATCATCAGCATCATCATCATCATCGTCGTCATCATCATTATCGTCAGCATCATCGGCATCATCAACAGAATCACCATCGCCATCATCATAATCGACATCGTCATCGTCATCATCAGCATCGTCGTCATCATCATCAGCATCAGCAGCATCCCCACCACCAGCATCATCACCACCATCATCATCATGATCATCATCATCAACATCCTCATAAACATCAGCAGCACCATCACTATAATCATCATCATCATCATCATCATAATCAACATCATCAGCAGCATCCTGGTCATTATCATCATCAACACCATCGTCATCATCAGTACCATCGTCATCGCCATCAGTGCCATAATCATCGTCATCATCACAATCAGTATCCTCATCCGCATCCTCAGCCTCATCATCAACATCAAACTTACCATCAGCATTTTCAGCATCATCACCGTCATCATCAGCATTAACCCTCATCATCGTCGCCACCGCCGTCGTCGTCGTCGTCGCCATCGTCGGCATCACAACCGTCTGCAGCAGCATCATCATCGTCGCCGTCGTCATCGTCGTCATCATCATCGACACCACCAGAAGCACCACCAACAACATCATCATCATCGCCGTCGTCATCACCACCAACACCATCATCATCATCAGCATCATCATCACCATCATCATCGTCGTATTCGTCGTCGTTGTCGTCGCCATCGGCATCGTCATCGTCACCGTCTTCAGCGTGGTAATCATTACCATCATAGCCGCCATCGACATCATCATCCACATCATCCCCGCCATCAGCATCATCATCGTCGTCGTCACCGCCGTCGTCGTCATTCTCACAATCGTCGTCGTCGTCATCATCGTCATGATCGTCAGCATCAGCATATTCGTCATAGCCGTCGTCGTTCTCGTCATCAGCGTCATACGCCTCCTCCGCACCCTCATCCTCATTATCATCAGCATCATCAGCATCACCATCATCATCATCTCCGTCGTCATTAACATCATCCGCATCATCAAAAGCATCATCATCATCATCATCAGCATCGTCGTTATCATCATCGTCGTCCCCGTTATCGCCGCAGTCATCGTTCAAACCGTCATCATCGCCACCGATGTCATCATCAGCATCATCGTCATCACCATAGTTATCATCATCAGCACCGACATCATCATCATAATCGTCATCGTCGTCGCCGCCGTCGGCATCATCAACACCATCATCATCATCAGCATCATCATAATCAACATATTCGTGATGATAAGCATCATCGGTTACAACTAATAACCATCACAGTCGTCACCCACATGATCTTCATCATCACCATCAGAATTATTACAACGCCATCATAATCAGCATCATCATCCTCGTCGTCGTCATCATCGTCACCATCGTCATCATCATGATCACCACCGGCATCATCATCATCAGCATCATCATCAGCGTCGTCCTCGTCATCAACATCATCGTTATCATCAACACCGTCATCATCATTGTCGTCGTCATCATCATCAGCCCCAGCATCATCATCATCATCATCATCATCATCATCATCATCATCATCATCATCGAAAACCAGCATCATCAACATCATCATCAGCACCAGCATCATCGTCATAACCAGCATCAGTATCAACAGAATCATCGACGTTGACGTCATCGTCGTCGTCATTAACAAGACGATCATCAGCACTACAAACAGCATCATCGTCGTCGACGTCAGCATGAACACCGTGCTCATCATCATCATCATCATCATCATCATCATCATCATCATCATCATCATCACCATCACTCTACACCTTCGCCTCCTCCCCCTCCACATCATCAGCATCATTCCCTTAATCGCTATTATCATCATAATCGTCATCAATAACATCCCTTTCCTCCTCATCATCGTCATCCTCATACTCATCAATATCATCGTCGCCGTCCTCACCACAATCACCATCATCAACATTATCAGAATCACCCTCACCATCACCACGATCATTATCATCATCGTCATCATCATCATCATCGTCATGATCCTCATCGTCATCACCATCGTCATCGTCATCAGCAGCATTGCCGTCATCATCTTCATCATCACCATCGCCACCGTAAACATCATTATCCCTGGCATCATCACCATCAGCATCATCATCATCACAAGCATCAGAATCATCAGCATGAGAATCGCCAACGTCATCATCGTCACAATCTGCAACACCAGCATGATCAACATCACCGGCAACAGCAGCATCCTCACCATCTCCGTCAGCGTCCGCGTCATCGTCAACACCATCCTCAACGTCAACACCAGCAGCAGCAGCATCAGCATTATCATCGTCATCGTCATCGTCATCGTCGTCCAAATCAGCATCGTCATCGTCATCATCATTAGCATACTCATCATCATCGTCGTGGTCGTCGCCGTCATCATCAACATCATCATCATCACCAATAGCATCATCATTATCAGCAGCAGCATCAATATCGTCGTCGTCATCATGACCACCATCATCATCAACATCATCATCACCATCGTCATAGTCATCACCATCATCATGGGCATGACAAGCATCATCATCATAATCGCCATCATCGTCATCATCATCAACAGCATCATCATTATCGTCGTCACCATCATCAGCATCATCACCAAATCAAATTTATCATCATCAAAATCATCAACATCATCATCATCAGCATCATCATCATCCTGATCGTCATCCTGGGCGTCGTCGCCATCCTCATCATCGCCATCGTCGTCGTCTGCACCATTATCGTCGTCATCATCATCACCATCACCATCATCATCGTACTCATCAACAGCATAATCATCACCGTCTTCATCATCATCGCCATCAAAAACATCATCATCAGCACCGGCATCATCCTAAACGCCATCACCATCAACGCCATCATTCACAGCGGCATCATCGTCGCTTCGTCATCACCATCACCGTCATCATCAGCATCCGCATCATCATAAGAATGAGCATCATGATCATGATCAGCAGCAGAATCATCATCATCATCACGATATCATCATAAACATCGTCACCATCATCATCAGCATCAGTATCATCGTCATCGTCGTCATCACCGTCGTATCGTCACCGTCGCCATCACCACCAACATCATCATCATCATCAACAATTAGAAGAATCACCATCACTATCAGCATCAGCATCCTTGTCATCATCATCATCATCAACATCATCATCGTTATCAACACTACCATCGTCACAGTCGTCATCAAAATCATCCTCGTCGTCATCATCATCACCATCAGCATCGTCGTCGTCACCTCCATCATCATAATCATTGTCGCCGTCATGAACACCATAATCGTCATTTCCATCAGTATCGTCATCGGCATCGTCATCATCAACACCCTCATCCTCGCAGTCACTATTACGATCATCATCCGCTCCGTCATCATCAGCACCGTCGTCATCGTCAACGTCGTCACCATCATTATCATCAGCACGAACATCATCAGAAGCGTCAGCAGCATTAGCATCCAAATCATCAGCATCATGGTCACAATCAGCAGTATCATCATCAGCAGCATCAGCAGCAACATCCTCATCATCAACACCATTACCATTACCATCATCACAATTATCAGCAGCATCATCCTCATCATCATTGTCATCATTACCATCATCACACGAGTCATCAGTATCATCCTCATCATCTTCATCGCCATCATCATTATCATCGTCATCCTCATCCCCATCATCATCCTCATCATCACCATGGTCGTTACCATCGTAGTCATCGCCATCGTCGTCTTTGTTGTCGTCGTCGTCATCATCGTCACCACCACCACCACCACCATCATCATCATCATCACCATCATTATTATCACCCGGGACGGGGGCAGGAGAGGGGCCGTGCCCTGACTGCAATCTGTGACATGAAGAGGGGGCGGGGAGTCCCACGGCTGCAACCCCCGCAGGGGCGAGCAGGCCAAGATGAGATGGCCCCATCAGCAGCAGCATCCTTATCGTCAGCCGTCTCCTCCCCCGGCCGGACGCGGGTCCGCCTCCTGGCCTCACTCGGGCCGGCCGAGGGCCACCCTTCCTGGCCGAGGCCGCGACCCGTCTCCCCCTGGATGCAGACCACCCTGCGGGATTTGATGGCGCCCACCTCGGTCGAGAGGGGGGGGGCGCGAGGGAGGAGGAGGAGGAGGAGGAGGAGGAGGAGGAGGAGGAGGAGGAGGAAGAGGAGGAGCAGGAGCAGGAGCAGGAGGAGGAGGAGGAGGAGGAGCAGGAGGAGGAAAAGGAGCAGGAGGAGGAGGACAAGGAGCAGGAGCAGGAGCAGGAGGAGGAGGAGCAGGAGGAGGAGCAGGAGGACCGGGGAGGTGCGAGGACGTGTGGCGGGAGGGGAGGCCCTCCAGCTCCAGCGGCCGAGGGGGCGCCGCCTCCCGCGGCCGCGCCGAAGAGGGGACCGCGAGGTCAGGACGGAGCAGACGGCCCCAGATGCCCCCAGGACTCCCCCCAGAAGACGCCCCCCAAAGGAACAGAGAATGACTCCCCAAGACTCCCCCCAGCAAACGCCCCCAAAGGAACAGAGAACGATTCCCCAAGACTCCCCCCAGAAGACGTCTCCCCAAACGATGCCCCCAAGGCTCCCCCCAGAAGAGGCCTCCGGGAAGCTCTTCAAGAGAGCCCCCAGAGGAACAGAGTGATGACTTCCCCACTGGCAGTCTTGACGGTTCCGGCGCTCGCGCCTTCTCCGTCCCCCCACGCGCAAAGACAACCCAAGAGGCCGCCCAAAGTCGCCCCCCAAGACGGCCCAAGAGGCCTCCAAGAGGGCCCCACGACGGCCCACAAGGGCCCCAAGATCGCCCAAGAGGCCTCGGAGAAGGGCCAAGAAGCCACCAAAGCGGGAGACCCGAACGGATGTTTCGAGGCCTGGGTTTCGAGAGCGTTCCAGGGGGGGGCGCCAAGAAGCCCACAAGAGGCCCGCAGGAGGCCGCAAGGGGCCCCCAAGAGGCTCGCAGGAAACCCCAACAGGCCCTCAACAGGCTCCCAAAGGGCCTCCAAGGGGCTACCAGAAAGCCCCAAAACTGCCCTTCGTCTGCGAGAGAATTCCAGGAGGCCGCACTGAAAGAGCCTCCCTATACTTGGCTCCAACAGAAGCTTCCTTGGAAAGTCCGCCGACCCCTTGGGGATCATCGGCGTGTGAGATGCTTTCCCCCTCCCCAAACCCCTCCCCCGGGAGCCTGGTCCGGTCGATTTGGAGGGGGGGGGGGGGGTCCACCACGAGCGCGTCATGGGGCTCTTTCGGTCCCAAGAGGGGCTACAGACCGCCCAGGAATGCCCCAAGAGGCCTCCAAGACCGCCCACGAGCGCCTCGAAACGCCAAACGAGCGCTCGGAGACGCCCAAGGTGTGCCCAAGACAGCCCAAGAGGCCTCCAAGACGTCCCAAGAGGTCCCCAAGAGGCCTCTTGGGAGCGGCCCAAGAAGCCAAAATCGTTGATTTTCCATTGGTTTTTGAAGGAAGGGGGCCTTCTCGCCCTTTCGGCTTTCCGACGCTCCAAGACGGCCCAAGAAGCTCCCAAAACCGCCCCAAGACGGCCCAATATTCCCCCAAGACGGCCCCAAGACGGCCAGAGAGGGCCCAAAGACGGCCCAAGAGCCGCCCCAGACGGCCCAAAAGGCTCCCAAGACGAGCCCAAGAGGGGGTGAAGAGGGGGTGAAGAGCGCAAAAGTGGACCCTGCCAAACCATCCCAAGGCAAATTTCGAACCCTCGGCCCCAAGAAGCCCCCAAAAGGATCCAAGAGGCCCCCAAGAAGCCACAAATAAGCCCCAACAACCCCCGAGAGGCCCACAATAGACCCCAAGAGACCCCAGAACGGCCCCCAAGAGACTTCAAGAGTGCTCCGAGAAGGCCCCTGACAGACATACCAGGACACCTTCAAGAGGCTCCAAAGACGGCTGCAAGAGGGGGGACAATGTACATCAAGGGGTCGGCGGTGTGGCGTAAGCCCAAGAATCTCATCGAGAAGTATTCGCAAGTGCGCGCAATGACTGTGTGACGCCTTACCCCCAGAATGGTATCACTGGCACCTCAGACCACCGACGATGACCTCCAGGAGACCCTGAAATGACTGTGAGATGACCCCGCATCGTCCAAAAATGGCTTCAACTCGGCCCCAACGCACCAAGAATCCTTGAACTTCTGGACCCCATCGTACGCCGAGCCGATCCCAAATCTCTGCCGGGTGGGATTCTAACTGGGCTGAACCAAACGTACTTACTCAATAATCGGCGGTGGACAAGCCTCCCTTTAGTAAACCTCCCTTTAGTGAAAACGGCCTCGGACCGAAACCAACGGACCTGGACCCGCAAAAATGACGACCGCGACGCCCTCTCGCAAGCCGAAAACGGCCAAATCGTGAATCGACGTGTCAGGGTAGGAGGTCTATCAACCTCCGAAATAAGTTTCCTCCTGCCACCCCTCCGAATCACTGCATCCCTCGTCTCCCTTGCCCAGGCCCGAGCTGGGAACCTCACGTCCGCTCGCTCCCTCTCCCTCCCTCCCCCCTGCCCTCTCCCTCTCCTGACGGCCGCCGCTCCCTCTCCCTACCGCCCTCAGTAAGGCCGAAGAGGCAGAACCGAGGAGCAGGAGGGAGAGGAGGAGGAGGAGGAGGAGGAGGAGGAGGAGGAGGAGGCGGCGCAGGAGAAGCAGGTGGGGGGATGGACGAGTTGGATGGCCGAGGGGGCTCTGGCGGAGAGCCCTGCGATCGAGCCTGCCACCCGCCCTCGCCAGCCAGCGCCGCCGCTCTGCTCTCCAGCTCCGCCGTGCGTCGCGCGCGGGCCCTCCCCCCTCTCTCTCCCCCTCTCTCCCCCTCTCTCTCCCCCCTCTCTCTCCCCTCTCTCTCTCTCTCTCCTCTCTCCTCTCCTCTCTCCTCTCTCTCTCCCTCTCTCTCTCCTCTCTCTCTCCCTCTCTCTCCCTCTCCTCTCCTCTCTCTCTCTCTTCCCTCTCGGGAGGGGCGGCTCCCCTCCCATCCCTGGCCCCTCCCCCCCCCTCCTCCTCCCTCTCCCCTCCCCCCCCCCTCCCTCCGCTTCTCCTCTCCCATCCCTCCCTCTCTCTCCCGCCCCCCCTCCCTCCCATTCTCTCTCCCTTTCGAGGGGGACGGCTCTGCGGGAGCGGAGCGCGACGGGCACCAGCGCGCGGCGCCGCCGCCGCCGCCGCGCGCGGCCGCCCTGCTCCCCCAGCTCCGAACACCGAGGGCCACCTCCCCCAGCATCGCCGAGCTGCCGCAGGCCACACGTTGCAGCCACTGCCCCACTCGGCTCCCTCGCTGGAGCAGAAAACAAACGGCACCACCCCACCTACGTCCCCACGGGCCGCAGCGTGTACCAGGACGTCTGGCGTGGGTGTTTGCATGGTACACGCTACGGCCCCCCGATGGGCCGTAGCGCAACATGGAGGGCCGCAGGTGGGGTGGTGTCGTTTGTTCTCTGGCCGACTCGCTCGCGCCTCCTCCAGACGAGCAGAGAACTGCAAAAGCATACACCCTGCGAAATGCTTAAGAAATCATGGGTTAAGAAATTCATAGTCTCAGAACTTGAATAAAAACCCAAAGTTCCCATTCAAATCTTAGGATTTACATTGAAACATTAAGAATAATCGAGACTCTGGCCGAACATTTAAGTTTTCTTAAGCATCGCCTAAGGTGTAGACCTTCGGGGGTCCACGCGGACTTCTTGGATCCGCGCCGGCACCACGCGCCAGAGGCGGCGCCGGAGGCGCCGCCGGGGAGGCCCAGCGCCGATCCGAGACATCCGCGCGGACCTCCGAGAGTTGATGATTATGCCGTCTCGGTATTGTTCGACGCTCCCCCTCCCCCGCCCTCTCCGTCTCTCGGCCTCCCATACCCCCCTCCCAAGGAACTGCACGACAAAGACGTCACGACCCAAGGAGGATGCGTCTGTCTTCGATGCCCCCTCGCGTGCCGATCAGCACGAAGGAGGTCCGACGGAGTAGGGTCACGATGCAGCTGCCCTCCGCGCTTCGGTGGCCGCGTCTGCCGGAGCGGGGCCTCCTGCGCCCTCGGGCCCCGGCCCCTCCGAAGATCAGGCCGCCGCTGGGGCGGCCACGATCTCGTCGCGGTGCTCGTCGATGGGCAGCGTCTCGCGCGGCGGGCCGGGCAGCACCTGCGCCGAGGCGCCAGCCTGGCGCCCAGAGCGGGGCGTGGAGGGGGGGGGGAGAGGAGGGGCGGCGAGCAGGGAAGCGGGACGGGGAGGGGGACGGACGACCCAGACATGCGACGTCCTGATTTTTTCAGGACGGCGTCCCTGGAAGTCCAGACCCTTTCCCTGGGGCCGGTTCTTCATCCTGAGTCGTTTTTTGACGGTCCCGAGGCCCGGCGAGGGGCTCTAGAGGCCGAAAATCATGAAAAACCTCCGTCCTGAATGTTTTACGACGCGATCATGTCTGGGGAGGGGGGGGGGGTGCTGCTCGCTCGGTCGGGGAGGGGGGGCCCACGCGCGCGGAGCTGCCGGCAGAGCGCGGCCGGCGCTGCGGCGGGGCGGGCAGTGGGCTCAGCTCGGGGCTTCGGCCGCGGGCGGCACGCCTCCACGAGCGCCGCCAGGACGGCCGACCAGCAGAGGGCACACTTGAAGGGGCCCAGGGACACAAATAAATACACACAAATAAAAAGATTCCCTATATTTTCCCATATTTTCTGGGTTTCTGTCTTCTCGCCCAATTCCCATATTTTCCCATATTTTCCTTGGAGGCGACGATGAATTGTGTCTGTGTGTGTGTTTCCCTCCTGATGGGTGTACACCCAAGTTAGCTGCGGCCGGGAGGAAGCCCGCGCGCTGGCGGCAGCGGTGCGGGCCGAACCGACGCCGCGCACGGACGAGGCGCCAGACGAACTGCGGGGTGCCGCCTCCAGCCCGCGCCCTCCGCGCCGCCCAGCGCCGAGTTCAGGGCGGAGGTGGAGGAGGAGGAGGAGGAGGAGGAGGAGGAGGAGGAGCGGGGAGGAGGTGGAGGAGGAGGAGGAGGAGGAGGAGGAGGAGGAGGAGGTGCGCAAACTGCTGCGGCGCCCTGCTCGGCTGGCGGCGCCAGGCCTCCTGGGGCGAGCGCAGGCGACGGCGAGACTTCGCGCTTGCTCGCCCGGGCTGCCGCGAGGGTCGCCTCTGGGGAGCCGCCGCGGGGGGTCCTCGAGGCGCTGCGCGCTGGGGAGCTCGTGGCGCTCGCGAAGGGCGCCAGGGAGGTGAGGCCGCTGCTGCCGCTCAGTAAACGCCGATTCTCGGAGTCGGGGTGGTTTCTCCTCGCTCGAATACATGGAGATGATCTGGACTTCGAGAGACCGCCGCTGCCTCGGTCTGCACTCGGAAGGTCATTCCACTCGGGTGTGAGCCACATGCAGCTACGGAAATGGAGCCAGTGCAGGCGAGCGAAGCGAGCCTGCCCTGGCGCTGAGGAGTTCGGCCCCCGACGGGGCCGCGGCAAACTCTTCCGAGCTACAGTCAACCCGTACGTGGCACCCCGCGATTGCGGATAAGAGTGAGGGGGCGGGCGCGGGCGACGCGGGCGTCGAGCCAGCGGACCGTGGACCTCACCTTCCCTGTCGATGGCGCCCTCCTCCTCCTCCTCCTCCTCCTCCTCCTCCTCCTCCTCCTCCTCCTCCTCCTCCTCCTCCTCCTCCTTCTCTTCCTCGTCCGCGTCCTCGTCTTCATCGTCGTCGTCGTCGTCCGCCTCCTCCTCCTCCTCCACCTCCTCCTCCTCTTCCTCCTTTTCCTCCTCCTTCTCCTCCTCCTCGTCCTCCTCCTTCTCCTCCTCCTCCTCCTCCAACAGCTTGGATGAGCGGAGCTTGAAGAGGTCTTGGGGGGCTCAGACGGCATGCAAAATCCGCCGCCGCGCTTGTGCGGCACTGGCGTGCTGTGTGGTAGGGTTCGTGGACGCCCCCCTCAGGAGGCCCGAGGCCCATTAATTGTGGGCGCCTTGAGGCAGCTTCCCCTGAACCCAGGCTTTGGGCACGGATGCCGAATTGCAGCAGGCAACTGGATTGTCAATGAACGTGTTCAGACAGCCCCGCCGCAGGCGCCGATGTGCTGTTGTAGAGTCAACGTGGGCCGGATCGGGGGAATGGCACGAGGGCGCTTTCCCAAACCAATGCGAGCAAGCCCGCCGCAGGCGCCCATTTGCGTGCTATGACAAATTCAGCGCGGGGGGGAAGCTGGTGGGCCACCCGGAACGAATGCAAAAAGCGCCGAAATTTTGGCTTGCTCAGTGAACGTAGTTTGGGTCGCGGGTGGGTTGCGGGCTCTCCACCTCCACCTGCAAGGAATTCAAAAACAGCCCGCCGCAGGCGCCGAAAGTTTTGTTTTGTACACTGAACGCGGTTTGGGTCGCAGGTTCTCCACCTGGAACGAATGCAAAAGAAACCCGCCGCAGGCGCCGAAGTTTCGGCTTGTTCAGTGAACGTAGTTTGGGTCGCGGGTGGGTCGCGGGCTCTCCACCTGGAACGAATGCAAAAGAAGCCCGCCGCAGGCGCTGAAAATTTTGGGTGGGTCGCTGGGTGGATCGCGGGTGGGTCGCGGTGGGTCGCGGGTGGGTCCGGGTGGGTCGCGGGTGGGTCGCGGGGTGTCGCCGGGGCCGGTTGGGGTCGCGGTGGGTCGCCGGTGGGATCGCGGGTGGGTGGGTCGCTGGGGGTTCTCGGGTGGTGTTCGCGGGTGGGTCGCGGGGAAGGTCGCGGTGGGTCGCGGGTGGGTCGCGGGTGGGTCGGGGTGGGTCGCGGGGTGGGTCGCAGGTGGGTCGTCGGGGTGGGTCGCGGGGGGTGGTTCGCGGGTGGGTCGCGGTGGGTCGCGGGTGGGTCGCGGTGGGTCCGCGGTGGGTCGCGGGGTGGGTCGCGGTGGGTCGCGGGTGGGTCGCCGTCGGGTCGCGGGTGGGTCGCGGGGTGGGTCGCGGGTGGGTCGCGGGTGGGTCGCCGGTGGGTCGCGGGTGGGTCGCTGGGGGGTCTCGGGGTGGGTCGCGGGTGGGTCGCGGGGTGGGTCGCGGGTGGGTCGCGGGTGGGTCGCGGGTGGGTCGCGGGTGGGTCGCGGGGTGGGTCGCGGGTGGGTCGCGGGGTGGGTCGCGGTGGGTCGCGGGTGGGTCGCGGGGTGGGTCGCGGGTGGGTCGCGGGGCGGGGCGCGGGTGGGGCGACGACAACAACAAACAACAAACAACAAACAACAACAAGAATCCGCATCGCGGAATTCCACTTCAGCCACGCACCCAGGGACAGTGAATGACCGTTCGGTTCAGCCCCCTCACTCTGATAAGAAGTACGCACGATTAGGATGCACGGACCTTGGGAGGCCTTGTCGACACTTTGCGTGCGGGGCGCGGCCAGCAAAAGCGGCCAAGGATGGGCCGAAGGGGAAGGATGCAAGGGGAACCTTTAAAGTTGCTCATCCTTCCTATGCGGGTTGACCGCATCATCTGTAGGGCGGAGGTTGGCGAACCGGCGAGCCTTGCCATACCTCTGCCCACGACCCCACGAAGCACTGTACCCCGATGCCGAGCGTGCTCGCCGCATCCTTCTCCCCTGGGAGGACATGTACATTCCAGCTAGTGAAGGCAGCGGACTAGAACTCTACTTCGGCGTCGGCATGGCCTTCGGCGTCCTTGTCGTAAAGGCGAAGGACAGCCGAGTATCCGATCGGACTCGCGCGCTCTCGCGCGCTCGCTGTTGTTGCACGGCCGCGTGAGGTGTCGCAAAGATGGGGGAGGCGGAGGGGGCACGGAGGCGGAGAAGGAGAAGAAGAGGAGCGAGAAGGGATGCTTGCGAGAAGAAAAGGAGCGAGAAGGGATGATTGCGAGAAGATGAGGAGCGAGAAGGGAGCGAGAAGAAGAGGAGGGAGGCGGGAGGAGCGAGAAGGGATGACGGCGGGGGGAGGAGGGAGGGAGCGAGAGAGGAGGCAGGACGGCGAAGGAGGGATGGAGGAGGGAGGGAGAAGGGAGGGCGGCGGAGGAGGGAGGAGGGAGGAGGGAGGAGGAAGGAGGGAGGGAAGGGAAGGAGGGAGGGAGGACGGAGGATTGAGGAAGAGGGGGGGAGTCAGAGATGCAGAACTATCGCGAAGCGAGTCGAAATAAAATCCAGACGTGGCCTCGCTCTCAGCCTTGCTGAGAGCCTTGGGCGTGAGTCCACGGCTGACTCGGTCAAGGTAAGCCTTTCCTGTCTTGGTCGGGGGCTTGCTCTCCAGGGCGAGGCCTCTCAGCTGACGCTGGCCAATACACCCGCAGGACTTGCAGAACCATACAGACAGAGGCTCGTAAAACATCACGTGGTGAAAGAGGCGAGACAATGAGTATCCCCATCCCCAGCGGCGTGGCCTGGGCCCCGCTGGCCGATTTATCCCCCCAGATGGGGATGTAGGTCGTTCACCTCGGGTTTCGAGGGGCGTATCCCCCCCCAACTGGGGTGGTAATTTGGTGGGGGTCTTGAAGGGGATGGGAATGGGAATGGGGATCGGATAAACGATACCGAGACAAGGAAGGACAAGGACGAGCCCTCCCCCGACCGGCGCGCCTGCTGGCCGGCGGGCGCGGAGGTGGCAGCGCTCGTGCGCACGGCTGGGGCGGCGTGCTGCGCAAGCTGCGCGGCCTGGAACGCCGTGCCTGCCTCGGCCGTCTTCCCTAATCGTTCTCCTCGACATCCTCCACCTCCTCGTCGTCCTTCCCCTCCCGCGAATCGTCCTTCTACTCATCGTCTCCCTCCTCGTCCAAATCGTCGCCCGACCCCTCCTCCTCTTCCTCCTTCTCCTCCTCATCCTCCTCCCCACCCTCCTCGTTTTCCTCCTCCCCCTCCTCCTTCTCCTCCTCCTCCTCCTCCTCCTGCTCCTCCACCTCCTCCTCCTCCTCATCCTCCTTCCTCCCCTCCTTCCTCCTCCTCGGCCTCCTCGTGTTATCTTCATCATCCTCCTCTCCCCTCCTCCTCTCCTCCTCCTCCTCCTGCTCCTCCTGCTCCTCTCTCCTCCTACTCCTCCTCCTCCTCGCTCCTCCTCCTCCTCCTCCTCCTCCTCCTACCTCCGCCTCCGCCTCCGCCTCCGCCTCCGCCTCCGCCTCCGCCTCCGCCTCCGCCGCCGCCTCCGCCTCCCCTCCGCCTTCCTCCTGCTAGCTGCTGCTTGCTCCTGATGCTCATGCTGCTCCTGCTGCTCCTCATCCTCCTCCTCCTCCTCCTCTCCTCCTCCTCCTCCTCTCCTCCTCCTCCTCCTCCTCGTTCTCCTCCTCCTCCCCCTCCTCCTCATCCTCCTCCTCCTCGTCCACGCGCCGCTGCCCCAGACGGCTCCCTCCGCTGAGTTCAATGCGCTCGGGCAGGCCTCAGATCTCTGCAGCTGGGCGGTGCGTGTGGTCTGTGACTGCCTGGCAGTGTGCAAGCATTTCCATTTGCCCCGCGGTGAACGGCTATCGTACCGCCGTAAATATGCAGGTCAGTTTCAGTATATCAACGCCTGCTCTGACATTGCCAGCTTAACCTAGGTGCGTGCGCACCTAGACCCTCACGAAGAGGGGATCGAAGAGTGCGAATCGTGGAGGCGTAAAGGTAACGGATGTGCCAACACTGCCGCGCAGCTTGGTGCCCTGACCCGCCCCTGTGCGTCCACGGATGAGCATGAATCGCTGGATGCCATCATTGCTGTTGCGCGTACTGTTTATCGTCTGGCTGCGAAGCTATTGCCCCTCTGGCCTCGCCTCAAGCTGGATGGCGTTGTTTTTCAGCCAGCGGCCCGAGTGCAGTCGGTGCCGCTCGTTTTCTGTTCTCACGATTGGCATGGTCACGGCAGC